TGGCCCTGGAGTCAGGAGGACCTGAGCTCAAAGCTGGTCTCAGACACTTGACACTTACTAGCTGCGTGACCCTGGGCAAGTCACTTAACCCCATTGCCTAGCAGAGAAAAAGAAAAAAAAGAGAAACAATTCCAGGAAAAGGGGGGAGGGTATCTAAAGCAGTAGTATCCATATGTTTTGGATCATGTAACTATAACGAAAAGCCTTTACACAGCACCCCCAAAACATATAATTATTTATAAATTATATATGTGTACAATTGTAGTAATTATGTATACTATAAAACTTTTACAAAATGGAAATTTTAAAAAAGGACTAGGTGAGATATTTTTTAAAAGATGATCTTGGTAGCTGTTGGGAGAAAGGATTAGAGAGGTTAGAGATCTGAGGCAGGGAGACCAGCGAGGAGGCTGTTGCAACAGGGCAGGAGGGAATTCAACTGGTGATGGCTAAGTGAGCTGAGAGAAGGGGCAGATGCTAGAGAGATGGTGTGCAGGCTGAACCGAGAAGACTTGGCCACTCACTGGACATGTGGGGTGACGCAGGAGAGAAGGTGAAGAGGACAATGAGATCATGAGAACCCAGGGGACTGGCAGGGTGGTGGTGCCCTTGACCCCAAAACAGGGAAACGTGGTAGAGGGGTAGATGGGTTGAAGACTGACAGAACAGTAAGATTTGTTAGGCATACTACTACCCATCCGTGCCAGCTCAGCCTGTTTGACTCACTTCTGCTTTACCCAAAATGAAAAGGTGAGAGGGTGGGTTCTTCCTCACTGGTCACTGCTCGACAGCCCTTCCTCCCAGGGGCATCTACTGCAGCCCGTAAGTCAAGAGTCGTGGAGGGAACTTTCCTGTTGGCCCCTGAATGGTTTCTGCTGAGTTCGCCTGGGCAGTGGCTAGGTTATAAGTGTCCTAGGGAAGAAGTGGAGAGGCTAAACCTTTGCACCATGCAGAGAAGGGGTGGAGAGGGGTAGTATCTGAAGATAAAGGCAGTTGAGGCTATGTCAGAGACAAATCCTGTGATTCTAACATCTTCTCATTCTCCGACAGATCTCACACCACTTGAGGTCAGACCATATCCCCCTTGGGATAAAGGTCACAGCTCCCACCATGGAGACCACTGGACTAATTAGACTAATGTAGACATCCAAGGAACTCACCAAACAATTTAGATATTAGAAAGGAAAGACATGCATTGAAGATGAAAGCAAGGATAGTTAATGGAGGCTGAACGCAAAATCTTGGCATATCCCTCCATGGAATGCTATCAAAAGTGTAAAAGCTCAGAATGAGGTGAGGCTAGCAAAGAAAGATACAGTCATGGCTAACTTCAGGGGTGAGGCCTGAGCCCCCGTCTTCTTGGCTCCAGGACCAGCTCTGAACCCATTATGACACGTTCCTTATAGGCATTTATGTATTATATAGTGTCTTAAGCATCGTCCCCAGGGAACAACCTAAGCTCCCTCCACTCACCAGACGACTCTAGATGTCATCTCCTGCTTCTCCCGATGGGCTATTCCTCATCTCCAAAGTCTTTTATACCATCTCATCTGACCCTCACACCAGTTCTTCGAGAGGTAGGTGCTATTAGCCCCACCTTACAGATGAAGAGACTAAGGGTCGGGAAGGCTGAACTGTCTTCTTGATTTTAGAACAATATCTACTTATCGCACCAGATTCCAATGTAAAGGAGTCCTAGTTTGATCTTAAGTAGCATTATGCTGTCCCTTCATCTACCTGTCCCCATTTCAAAAAACTCTGAATACTTTAATTTAAAGGGCTTAGCTTTTAGGACCTTTTTTTAAACATAATTTTGCATGACCTAAATGTTAGCTATCACAAAGCAGGCAACCAGTAATAGCACATTCTTCTCACCTCTCAAGGAAGGAATCCCTAGGGAAAGCTCACTGAACCCTGGTACTTCGTTAAAAGAAAAAAAAACTAAAATCTCTACTTTTGTTCCTAGTTTAATTTACCCATACTGCCAATCTATGTGGCTCTTTTACTTCAATCAATTTCCTTTCTTTTATATCATTTTCTCAAAAAAGACAACAAATCTACGGAAGTTACACCCTGAAACTTAGCCCTCAACATGTATTTGGAATGTTCTGTTTAAATAGCAATTTTTTTTTACTGTTCCTCAATCAATTTCCTTTCTTTTACATCATCTTCTCAAAAGAGATGACAAATCTAGGGAGGTTACACCCTGAAACTTACCCCTCATCATATATTTGGAACATTCTGTTTAACTGGCATTTTTTTTTTACTGTTCCTCTTTTGCCTTTATTTTCAGACTCTTCTTCGTTTGCTTCTATCTACTCTGCCCTCCAATCTTCTATGCATTTACCTTCTTAACTTTGCCCTTTCAAAGAAAAGGAAGCACCTGACACTACAGAGAAACTTGCAAACACACAATAGCAGGACTGGTCAGGTTTGTGATCTTTTACCTCCACATATAATACTGGCACTAAAAGCTATCTGGAAAGAGAAATCTACCATGCAGGAACAAACCAAGAATTTCTCTGGTACTTACAAATAGGATGTTCTAGGCTGGTGATTTATCACTGCCTCTGAATGAGAAGTTGGCATCTATAATCTTTTCAAATTTACTTAGAAGCCTAGAGAAACCATTTGAGATTGAGATCTTTCCTTATGGAGTCCACAGTGGGCTGTGGCTTGTAAGGCTTTCAAAGGAGCCAAGAATTTATTGGAGGAATCCCAGCCTATGAGGAACACCAGTTGAGGGAACGCCTGATGTGAAAATTCTCTCCCACTACTGCCGGACGATGAGCAACTCACGTAAGTCTTGGAGCGTTTCCCAGGTCACCGAAAGGTTAGGTGATTTGCCCGTGGACACAAAGCTAGTGTCTCTCAGGCAGGGCTTAAACCCAGGGCTTTCTCAAGGCCACATGAGATGATATGAACATACAGTCCCCATGTAGCAGTACCATAATTGTAGGGCTGAAAGGTGCTCTCTGCTGACCTAAGCCTTCCTTTTTCAAATGAGGTAACATTTAAAAAGTGATTTGCCAAGGCCATATAGCTAGCTTCGGGGAGAGCTGATATAGACTCAAGCCTGATGACTTCTAGTACAACTCCACATAGTTAGAAGGAGAGGATAAATCTAATAGTATTTGATGGAAGGGCAAGCTTGTTTTAGATGATCCAATTTCTTTCCCTCTTTCTTTTTCTGCCCCTGAAGAAAACGTCAAGTTATAACAAGCCAACAGAAAGAATATTTAGAAGTACCAGAGGACACATTCTCTAGATCTTCCTTCCCTGGCCTTCTGGATGTTAGCTTTGGGATGTTATGCACACTAGGGAAAGGATCCCTACCTCACCTCCTTCCCAGACCAATCTGAAGATAATCTGCTCTCATACAGAAGTGCCAAACTTTCCCCACTAATCCTCCCAAAAGAGCACAGGAAGTTCAAATACCATCCATCAGCCTTTCCTACCATGGAGGGCTCCAAGACTGCAGGGAAGATTGTGAAACTTTCATGTTACATCCTCTAATCCTCCTGGCCTACCTCCTCAGCAGGTGAGAGTTGCCCCCTGAGTCCCAAAGCCCTCTTGGACTTCACTTGCTCATTTTTTTAATCTTAAATTACATAAAAATCTAAATGACTACATTGCCTAGACCAATCCAGCTGATAAGAAGTATGACAGTATATGATTATACATCGCTATTGCATGCAATTTATCACCTTAACTTTCTCATGTTTTCTTTTTTCTAATACATTAAAAAAAATTAAAAAAAAACTTTTTTAGATGCACCCTGATTAAATAGGCATATATTGCAAGTTGGTGAAAGTTGGGGTTCCTGTCAGTAATGCCTATCTCCAACTTCCATTATGCAGTGGCTTAATAAGCCACATAAAAGGCTGAAATCTTCAGATCTCAACTGCAAAAGTGTGCTGAGTGAGCAAGGAAGGGGATAAGGAAGCCACTCTTCTACCTAACCTTAAATAGCTATCAGTCAGCCAGGTAAAATTTCAAGTCACAATCTGGTATACTACATGAGAAAAGCGACATGGTCAGAAGAGATTAGCACAAAGAAAAGAGGGGCTGTCATATTAGCTCCACGAAGCAGTATTTCTATCAAACTGAACTAAAATATGGTAACTACAGCTTTTAAGGCAGCTACTGAAGGTATTAATTTAATTTAATTTGCAACTCCTCCCTCCCTAGTTCTACACCCACACCATTTGTTCATGTAGTTTCTCCTGTGTAATTAGCATCTATTGATTTAATTTTATGTATTTTATAAACAATTATAAACTGTAACATACTAATTAAATAATAAAAGGAATAAGAAAGGATCACAAGTATGCTTCACTTTTACCATAAGCAAACTCCATCTTTTAAAGAGAATTAAATATAAAATACAAGTACCATTTTCATTTTCAGAAGAAGTTAGTAGTCAAAAGTGCTATACTTGCAGTATGTGTTTATAGAAGATACTTTTATACTGACATTATACATTTAAAGTTTACAAAGTCCTTCCTGTACAAAAATGGTTAGAGTTCTAAGGTTTTAATGACTCACCAGAAACCCACTGGTATCACACTATAGTTTAAGAAAGAAAAGTGTCTACCCAGAATGGTAGGGAACAGAGAGTTTTGATGCACTGAGGTTTTAACTGAAAATCTGTCTGAACCCATCCCAAAATTTTAAAATGCATGAGTATACCTTCCCCACTTAGTAAGCAGGGCATGCTGAACATAACCAAAACTTCCTCTGATAATCAAAGATTCCATCATGTTCATCAGGATCACTACAAAAAATAACAATCTCTGTAGATGGAGAAGACAGAAAAGGTTTAGTTGGATTTACAGACTTTATGACATACCCAGGAAGCTGCTTTTGTAAGGTATCAGGATACCTCTCATAAGAACATTTCTTTAAACTTTCATTGAAGAATCTGGATTATTTGGACTGCAGTTACTCAAATTATGCTGCAGACTCTGATAAACCGAGAGCAACCTTCATTCACCCACCTAAACGATGAAATCCAAAGGTGAACCTTTTGGTTGGCGACTTTGCCGAAAGCCACAGAGCTAACAAGGTAAGTATGATAGCGCTGAGGTCAGTTAGCATGTGAAGTGCGTCCGTCATGATTGCTAGGCTATTTGCGATATATCCGCCTTAAGACAAAGTAAGAAAAAAAAAAGATTGAAATCAGTCAATAACCAATAACAAAGACAAGCGAGCTAGAAAGATTAACCTGTTGTGAGTTCTAATAAGATTCTAATTAAAGCTCTGAATGTGGAGGATAGGCTCCTTTAAGGCAAAGACTGGCTTTTATTTTGTCTTCGTAGCCCCACTCCTAACATGGCGCCTTATCATACAGGAGGTATTTATAAATGCTTGTTCACCTGTATGGCCCTACTTCGAATAAATGTTCATTTTAGGTGGGATTCTGTCCATTCCTCTTTCTCATCTACAAAATGTAAATTCCTTAAACCACAAAGTGCAAGTGAACTGTTCTGCCTATATACATACGTCAACATCTTCTAATTGATAATGTTATGCCATACAGCAATACCTCTTAACATAGGGAAAAATGAATTTTACAAACTATTTATTGCTATATTATATTATCCTGACAACTGGTACATAGTATGTTTTGAAATTTACTCTTTAAAAAAAAAAAAGGACTAACTAGGAAGACTAATTCCATGTACACCACCCAGTGACTCACTTTACAAAATTTTGAGGCCCCTTCATTTCGGTTAAAGCTGGATTTTGGTCTTCAATATTTTAACTGATGCCTTGTTTTCATCACATTCATTTGAGAATGTATCCCTTTCTCCAAACTAGCAAGTCTTCCCTTGGAACAAAGATTAAAACAGTTCAGCAAACAACAGGGTCTAACAGTATAATATTTGATACCATATGCCTATTGTCTCTCACCTCTGTAACGAAGGCGCTGGGAATGAAGGGAGGGAAACTTGTACATATGCTTGACTGACTGATACTAGAGTGGTCTGCCATTTTCCTTTTTCAGCTCATTTTACAGATGAGGAAACTGAGGCAAACAGTCACATGACTTGCCCAGGGTCACACAGCTAGTGTCTTGAGGCCAGATTTAAACTCTAGTCTTCCTGACTTCAGCTCTAGGAGCTCTTATTCACTGCACCCTACCATAGGGTCTGACTCAAGGTGGGGAGAGGGAGGGGCCTCCTATGCAGTTGTTTTTATTTGCATTTGTCTTATTAGTGATTTGGAGCAGTCTTCTTATGAATGTTAAGTCTGTAACTCTGAGAACTGTTTCTTCTTATCCATTGGGGAACTGCTCTTGGCCTTATTTTTGTAGTAATTTTTTATTTGGCCCTATCATATAATGAAACAAAAATGAAGAATGCAGGACACTTTGATATCAGACCCTTACCAGAGATAACTAATGCAAAGATGCCCCCACCAACTGTGTCCCTTCTTCAGCACTGTATTTTGAATCACTGCCCATGCTGTAGATAATGTTCACCTGCTCCTCTAAATCCCCAACTTAGATGAACAGAGTAACTAAGCCTTTGTAAAGAGCTTCCCAAGTCTCAGTGCTAAGTGCACACACACATATAAACTGTGTTGCATCACTAACGTGAAAATGTTTAATGGGAATATACATGTATAGCCTATATCAGATTTTGAGCCATCTTGGGGAAGGCGCTGGGGTGGAAGGGAGAAATAAATTTAAAACTCAAAAGCTTATGGAAGCGATTGATAAATCAAAATAAATTTAAAAAAAGAGATATTAAAAGAAAAAAACAAACTGTTGCAAACTTTCAATTATCCATGATGATGAAGAAACTCAGAGAATACAAAAGATGGTGTAAAAAAATCCTATTTTATCTCATAATTTCAATATACACAGAAAACTGGTGAGAGAAGTATTCAAAGAGATACACCCTTCTGAGTTCAATCCCAAAGGCTCAGTTTAACTCCATGGCCAGGGCCTTGGGTGGTTATTTTTTGGGGGGTAGACTAACAGCTTTTTACATTCAAAACTGGAGTTTCAAAAACAGCTTGCCTTGTAAAGTCCTATTTCTACCCAAAGTATTTCTGAAAATTTTCTGTATTAGGAATTGCTGATAAAGGTCTGATAAAAAGTATAGGGAATGAACAAAAAATAGACCAAGAGCCATTTCCCAAAGGTCAAAGGATCTGAACAAATAATTCTCAAAAGAATTGAGAACTATCAACAACCATGAGAAAGACTGCTCTAAATCAATAATAAAGATAAATGCAAATTCAAATAAATCTGAGGTTTTAGCAAACTGGCAAATATTTTAACACATGGGAATAGTCAATGCTAGAGAGGTTGGAAAGAAAGGCATACTGATACATTGTTGGTAGAGCTATAAATCGATCTAACAATCCTGGAAAAGTAATTTGGGATTATGTTTTTAAAAAAACAATCAAAAGCACAACTGACTAAAATGTCTTTGACCCAGAGTTCCCACTGCTAAGCATAAATGTATTCCAAGGAGATTAAAGACATAATTTTCGTCCCGTGTTACAAGGTCCCATATGTTATAAGATAATCATGGCAGCACTTCTGTGGTAGTAAAGAACTAGAAATACAGTAGGTGTCCTTTGACTGATAAATGACTACGGGAATATAATGAGACAATACTGCACAATAAGAAACACAGATGGGATGAATTCAGAGAAATTATCCACCATGATGGAGAAAAAACTTAGAAAATACAAGACATACTATAAAATTCATTTCAATTTCTTCATCATGTGAACGTAGAAATTCGGTTGGAGAAGGATTCAAATGCCTTCTGAGTTCAGTCCCAACTACGGGAAGACATATGATTTGATACATAATTAAGATGGATAAGGAGAATTTAGAGAAAGATAGTTAGACTTATCAGAACTGGTGCAGGAGGAAGCTACCAGAACCAGGAACTATACACACAATGACTACAAAGTAAAAGAAAAGAACAATAAAAATGCAAACGAACACTGGAAGACCAAGCTAGGTCTCAGCGAAGCATGGAGAAAATGCACCTCCTTCAATTCACTGTAGGTGGGAGACTATGGGTGTGATATGTTGTGTAGGCTAATCCTTAGATAAAGACAATCAGGGAGCTATCAATATGTATGTGGGAACTTTCAATAGTAAATCATTACTCAACTCTCACGTTCAGAAACAGAGTAGGAGTATTAGACAGCCTCACTCATTGAAATTCATGTTTTTTCTCAGATCAGGAAGATGCTAAAACTGCCTCAGAAAGCCTTTCTCATATGTCAAAATAAAATATTTGAGAAAATTCTATGACCTCTTTTGGTAAAGTAGTGCCTTGTAAAAAAAAATTTAATTTAAAAATTAAAAAGTTGTAAAAGGGAGTCACTAGCCATTCCTCGAACTATGTGTAAAACTCGACTGCAACCTTCCAACTACCTGACCTAGAGTCAATTGTTCAGAAGTGGAGTCATGAGAATCAACTCTGCTGGAAACAAAATTTCAGCATTAGGCATTTATCATACACATCATGGTTCATGACATGTGAAAATGAAATCTCTTTCATTTGTGAAAATAAAGCATCTTTTCTCCACTTACACCACCTAGCAAAAACTATCTTTGAGGGACAGCACGAGGCACAATACCTGGTACAAAGGCATTTAATAAATGTTTACTGACTGGACAGGTAGCAGCTACACAGAATGCACAAAACACTGGGATGTCTACAGCTATCCTTTCCATAGTCTTCCTAAAAGAGGATAAGCTGTATGAAGTTTTTAAAACACAAAGTGCATCAAAATAGTGATTTTCCAAGAAATCCTTGGAGTCCCTTAATGTTTAAATTATTTCCCAGGAGGTGGGTAGGTAGTATAGTGGACCAGGAGCCAAGAAAACTTGAGTCCACAAATCCAGCCTCAGACACTAGATGTGTGACCCTAGGCAAGCCACCTCAGTTTCTTCATCAGTAAAATGGAGATGATAATAGTATGTACCTTCCCCAAGGTTCTTGTGAGGATAAACGGAGATAATAGCTGTAAAAACAGCTATGTAAATAATACACAGCTAGCTTTTATTGATATTAACTAATAATCATTAGCTATTAATTATATTAATAACTAATAACAATTATTAGCTATTGATATCCTAAGAGGATCAATCTGTTGGATGAATTAATCAGTTCATGCAATTTAGTATTACTTTAAGGAGTTCTGGTGTTCTCCTGAACTTAAAGGGTAGGAATTTGAAGATACTACCATAAATCAGGGTGTGGCAGAAATATGATTTCTAATCCTGGCTCTACTTCCTAGCTGTGGGACTGGATTAGATGATTTCTACGGTTCCTTCCAGCTCTGGTCTAGAATTCTGCCATGATTAAGTCAAACTGTGCAATTAAAAAGGAAAAGTCAAATGACTTCCTGCAACACTAATCCTTCTGCAGAGACTTTTTGTTTTCATCTGACAGGGGTCTTCCAATTCAGTCACAGAGATGAAGGCACAATCATTTATGATTCTAAGTCTTGGTCAGGATGTAGAAATTAACTTTTAACTTCATCTTTAAACAGAAAAAAATAAGTGAATAATACAATTCAGTTAAAAAAACTCAATCTCTTTCATCTGATTCTAGATGTGTTCTAAGAAAAATGTCCTCTTGAAATATATGTTCCTCATTCTTTAGGCACTTAAGTTGGTTTGCACATCAGAACACACTGACAGTATCTTTGATAAGTAGCAAACTATCTCTCTTGAAAACAATTATTAAACCTCAAGTCAGGAGTATCTTAACATTCTATGTTGCCTTTCCTGGCTAGGCACAAGGAGAAAAAGCCGATAACACAACTCACCCACGAGTTCACCAATCATGAAGAGGAGATAGAGAACACCAGCGATGGTGAGCCTGGTTTTCACTTTTCTCAGTTTCAATAACTCTCTCTGTTTCCGACAATTGTCACAAGGGTCTACTTTGAAACCCAGCTGGCTGTTGGGCAAAGGTGCGTCCTGATCAAGTAAGGAATCATCATCGGCCTGGAAAGCCAGGTGGGTCCCATTAATAGTTTCTGGGGTCTCCAGGCCATCGTCAGCGACTACAACTCGAAGTTTATTAAACCTGGGGAAATCCTCATCCCCTACTTCATCCGAGAAGTCAAAGGCGCTGGTATCATTTAGAAACGGAGGCGTATCATCTTTTTTCCACCACGATTTCAGACGGTTCCATACATTGGCTCGGGCCATGCTGAAGTGACGGCTGGGATCGGGAAATCCGTCGGCTCCAGACCACACACTGCCTTGGAGACTGCCAGTCACCAACTTATCTTCACTGGAAATGGAATTCTAGGTAGAGCATATCCGTCTGTTTTTTCTCATCCTAGGAAAAAGGGAGTAAAATAAAAACTAAATGTCTGCTACCTTCAGTTTAAATGCCCCGGCTAAGTTAACCTGAGCCTACGCCTGCCCCGCTCTCTGCTCCAAAGCGCTTGGGGTTCGGGAACCCCTACAAAGTTAGGGCGCCCGCAGGGGGCGGGGGAAAAACTGGTAGAGACCGGACGGGGCAGAGTCCGGACAGCAGGCGTAGGACACGGGCTGCCAGACGGGACAAAAGCCGAGGCAGCAGGAGCGGAGCCCGAGGGAGGTCTTTCCCCATCGGCGCACTAGGAAGCCAGAGCCATCCGATACTCACCGGCACCTCGGGCGCCCGCTCGCTCTCCGAGAGGGAGCCCAGAGCGCCCGGGCTGGAGAGCCTCCCTCACCCCAGCTCAAGGGGCCGAGCCCGGGGGCTACCCCACAGCTAGAGCCCCCGTCACCCTGGAGGATCCTCACTCCCCGGGGAGTCCCGCGTCCCATCACTAGCGAAGTCGGTGCCAGATACCTGGGGCTCTGACGCGGCGAGCTCTCCTGCCCGACGCCTGCTGGGGAGCCCCCGCGCAGGGGAGAAGTCATCTCCCCGGCCCGCCTCGGCCCGCTCCGCCGCCGCCGCGCTCCGCCCCTCTGCAGCAAGGTCAGCCTGCCGTTCCCCGGCTCCTTTATCCACCCCGGGACGCAGAAGCGCGGAGGGGACGGGAGAACAGAGCAGAGGAAGGGGCGGTGCGAGGAATGCACGTCGCTTAGCGTCGCGCCGCTCGGGGAGCCGGCTCCCCCGGAGTCGGGCAGCTTTTGCGCTAGCGCAGCCTCCCGGAGCGAGGGCGCCTCCCGTGCCCCTACGCTCCCGGGCGTCCCACCCCCTCAGCCTCCGCGACGGGCAGCGCGCGTGCGCTGGAGTCACCGAACGAGAGCCGCACGAGAAAGGGAGGGGTCTGCACGAGAACAGGCGGGGGACGGATGGGTGGAGGCGGAGGGAGAGCGAGTGAGCGAGCGAGAGGAGAGCCCTCTTCCTGCAGTCCCCCTAGCACACGCGCGCTCACGGCGGGGCCGAGCGCGCACCCCCGAGCGCCTTCCCGCCCCACCCACGCGCCCCAGGGGTCTCTAGCTCGCCCGGCTCCGGAGTCCAAAGCTGTGCGTCTCAGTGCCTTGCAGGTCTATCACTACGGCCGCGGAGCGATGCCTCCCCCAGGCTCCTGCGCCCACTGTAGGCGAGGCCGCTGCCGCCAACCCGTCAGACCTGCCGGGACGCCTGCTCCGGGGGAGAGGGAGGAGGGTCGGTGTCTGCTGGGTCCTCGCGGCCAGTTTCGTGGCAGCCAAAGCAAGCGGCTCTTGTGCATCGTCTCCTCGTGCTACGTCCAGACCCGCCCCTGAGCTGCGAGGCGCCGCAGGAGGGAGGGCGCATCTGGGCAATCAGGGTTCGGATTCCTGTGCAACGCCATACCCAGTCTGCCCGATAAGCAGACGTTTTCAACCACATTTCTCTAACTGGAGGCCTGTAACAGAACAGGCCTGGCGAGTTGGCAAAATTTGTGAGAGTGGCCGTGACTTTGGGGAGTCAGCAGTTCTTGTTTCTCGGTTTGGTTTTGTCATCCTTTGCACAGTGCACAGGAATACTCTTTAAGAAATGATTTTAAAAAATCAAAGGAGGCAGCTGCGGACTTCGACAGCAGCCTTTCTGTTCACCAAATGTATGACCCTGGGCAACTCGATCAACCTCCCCACACCCTGTTTCCTCCGAGTGCAAAATGATAGCACACTAATAACTTGCACCAACCACCTAGTGAAGAAAACATTTTGTAAACCTAGAAGTGCTACAGAAATTCCAGTAATTGCCTGTAAAATATTTACATCTTGGAGTTTAGACCAGACACTCAAAACATACCAGAAGTAGGTTTGGGCTTACATCCATTTTATTTTCCCAGGAGATAAGATTGTGTAATTTTCCAAAGACTCTGAGGTCACACAAGGAGGTTCAACAGATCTTTTCATTTTTCCTCTGGCTTCTTGCAGACAAAATCTCTAAATACCCAAATGTAGGAAGCAGGGACCCCATATTTCAGGTAAAGGCACATTCCCCATCTCTTTATGTGCCCACAATGTAGATACCTGGGTATTGCCCCATCTCCAACCCCCTAAAATGCTTGAGATACCAAGGGCTTACAGGAACCCATGAACGGATACAGAAACATGTAAAATATTCAAATAGCTTATTAGACTCCCTCAGAAAGATAAACACATTTTGGGAGCTAATGGACAATCACTCCCATTCACATAGGCCTATTCCTATGTGAGCAACTTATAGAAACAGGGAAGGATTGGCAAGGTCCAGATCTCTTTCCTACCCCACCGTGCGAACCGCTCTACCATGACTCAATTTTCACTCTCCAAATGCTGAGAATAATTTCCCTCTAAGTGCCGGAACTCTCGAACTTGGGAGCTCTTGAACTTGAAATTACCAGCTGATTAACCCTTCAAAAGCTGTGAAAGTTAAAGCTCAGGATCTCTCCTCTTTGGCAAGCACGAGTTGGTCACTGCCATGTGCTTCTCTAGGAACTTTATCAATGCTTTGGTTGCTGCCAATATCTTAAGCATGTAAAGCAGAGTCTCAGAACCTAGTGCCTGATCTATATTCATAAAGGCAGAGCCTGTAACTTCAGGTCAAGGAACCTCAGGCAGACACCTTCCTTCCTCTTAGAATGTAGATCTGTTCTACTCTATTAGGATCTGGAAGTCTAAGGGCCAAAAAGGAAAGTGAGAACAGGTTTGCTTTATAGATCAGGGTGAGGGGGTGTCTTTTGTAGTAAGAGGTCATTCCCTACCCCCATTCACAGTTACCAGACATCTTGGAGGTAGTACAAATCAATGGGAAACAATCGGAGGAGTATCCCCTGTCCTTTGAGCAAGGTTCAGGGGTTCATGTCTTCTACCTCCACTGGAGATGCCTTTCAGATGTTGATTGGGAAAACTAATCAAATTGCACCAGGACTCGCCTGTTCACTCTCACTCCCTTACGACAGAATAAAGGTAAGTGAGCTCCTAAGAAAATCAGTGCTCCTGTTAAGGAGTTGGGAACCTTTTCTGATTGTAGATGTAGCATCACACACACACTTGACTTTCCAGAAAACCACCTCAGATTAGAGGAACTTTGTGAGTCAACATCCTCTCAAAACCATAGCTCATCAGCCCAGAATGACGTATTTCCTTTACTAGACCAACCAGAGGGCACATTAGCTAAAGCAAAAGGTGTTTAATCAACCGGCACAGCAAAATAAATCACAAGAAAGAATCTCCATTTACAAATGTGTAGAGAGTCCCACAGGTTATATCATACCATCTATAAGCTATAGCACAGTGGCTGGCACATAGCACTTAATAAATGTTTATTTACTTGGCAAAGAAAAGGTTTAGAGTTTATCCCATTCTGGCACCCTGAAGAAGCCCTCAAAGTGAGATTAAATCTGCATTTTTGGTTTTTCTAAAGGTTGCTCAGGGCTTCTCAGCCTAAACTCTCATCTGAATTATGATCTGAAATTCATTTTAATTTCTATCTTATCCGTGTTTCCCCTTCATATCATCCTGAGGCCTTCACTTAGCAAAACTGCAAAAAGAGTTGGGAGTATGAGATTTTTTTCACTCCCCCAAAATGTTCCTGGTTGACAATTCAGGAGCAAGACTAAAAAGGGGTCAGTTGAAGCTGGTCAGCTGTGCCTTATTTTTCACTAGCAGCTCAAATTCCTTTACTCCCTACACAGTCCAAGCATTTAATCTCTAATTTTGCAGGGCAAACTCCTATTAATTTACAGTGTGGATGAATGGGGTGTTTAACTGAACGTTTTGAGTAACTGAACTTTACTGTATCTGACACACATGGTTTAACCGGTATTCAAACTGATTTAAATAATGACATTAAAGAAGAGATATAAACATCTACTTTGCTGCTGGACCCTACGTTAGACCATGGGACTTTTCCATTTGACTTACAGATTAAACCAGCAATATGTGTTGTCTCCTCCAATGAAGTGTGAGCTCCTTGACAGCAGGGACTATCTGATTTTTCTATTTCTATTGTCAGCTCTCAGCACTGTGCTTTGCACAAAGTAAGTGCTTAATAAATTCTTCTTTATTCATTCAAAACTAATTAAACTAATTTGTCTAGAAAACTGTGTGTGTGTGTGTGTGTGTGTGTGTGTGTGTGTGTGAAAGAGAGAGAGACAGACAGACAGACAGACAGACGACAGACAGAGACAGAGAAGGATGATGGTGGTGGTGGTGTTACAGAATGGATTTGTGATTGGACTCCAGGTGTGACAAATCCCTCCAGCAATGCATATCAGCAACTATGTAGTCTTAGAGAGTTGCTGAAATTGAAATGCTAAACAATATCACAATTAATGTATGTTGGAAGCAGGAATGAACACAGGTCTTTCTGAAGTTAGTTTGCTCTCTCTCTGATCATTTAGAATCAAAACTTCTTAAACTGTGGGTCATGATCCCATATGGCAGACCTGCACAACTTGTAAACTTCTTCAGGCTGAAGATAAGTTAGACTGGAGACAGACTGAGGAAAGTTGGTTGCCACGGGCTCAGGTGACAAACAAGAGTGCATAGTGGCCACCAGAAATCCTTTGGCTGGAGGCAAGTGGGCCGTAGGTTGTGCAGGGCTGCCATATGGGATGGAGTTGGGGGTCACAAAAAATTTGGCAACAGTAAAAAGTTTCTGAATGCACAACAACCAAAAATGAATTCAAAATCCAATGCATAACAAATCCAAGGTGTTTCTGGCAGCACTTGCCTGTGTTGCATCGTAGGACTTCACTGCAGCCTTGGTTCTGAGCATACAACATGCGCATTTTGTACTGCACATGCCATTACACCACACAACGCCAACAAATACTGCCAGAAACACCTCGGCTCAGATGTGAGACTCCTGTATGGTATAAATGGCAGTGTTTTTACTGTACACACAAAGTTTTCTGCTCTTACAGAAACATAACAGTTTAATTATGGAAAATAAAGACTTTTAACATTTTCCTACCATCATTCCTCATTATGTAAGTATCAAATTAGTATATCTTTGGATTGTATTGTGTTATAATGTTTGATTTTAAAAATTGCTGTTATTTCCTTCTTTTATAGAAACATAAGTGTTTAATTGCAGCAGGTAAAGACAAAAACCCTTTAATAATATTTCTCCACCGTCACCACTGTATGTGTATGTAAATGTGAACATCAGTTTTTAAAATTAAGCTCAAACAAAATGTAATTTCATAAACTAAAGCTAGTATTTATTTGAGAAATTATTAGCAATATTTATTTACATTTTAAGACAAAAGTATTTTTTGGTTATCGATAAGTGGCTACATTTAGATGGAAGAGGTAAAAATACTGATGACAACGCGTCAGAGTCTTCACTGCCAGGTTGTAGTACACGTGAATTGGCAAGAGAAAGAAAATATGTCAAATCATGTGGCTCTCAAGAGGGCAAAGTTTAAACATTATTGAAATTGAAAGATGAAATTGTTATATTTTTGACTGAGCAGAAATCTGATTTTGTTAATTTTTTTCATAATGACTTATGGCTTTCAAAACTTTGCTGTTGGATATTTTCAAAAAAACTCAATGATTTAAATGTGTCTCTTCAAGGAAAAAATTGTAACATGTTTATGTTAAAAGACGAAATTGAAAGTTTTACTAAAAAAGTTAACCTATGGAAGAAGAGGGTGGAAAATGGTTCTTTAGAAATGTTTACAGCTACAGATGATGTTATAATTGAAAATAACCTTCCCAAAGATTTAATTGTAAGAGTTATAATTGATCAATTGAGTT